AAAATTTGAGAGATAAATTTTAGTTTGCAAGCATAACAATAGGGATAATAGAGAACATGTTTCCCATCTTCAGCATTTGAACTTGCCTTTAGGAAGAATCAGAAACAAAGGGTGTCTTAATACAGATTTAGAAGCCAATTTACAAAATGGCTTCCATTGTTTAACTTCTGGTTCACACCCTGTATGAGGCAAAAATTACAGCTATATTGAGCATTTTTATACTGCAGGACAGATGACTGTATATCACAATTCTCCATTCAAGGAGTGTCTATGCACAGTTACCACAAAGCTACTCTTTTAAAGTATACAGATCTTTTAAAACAAGACTCAGTGTAGCTGAGGATGACCAGTTCTAAATACATTCCACATTCAGTTTTGAAATTAAAACAGAACAGAAAAAAATGAACAGCACTTGCCCTGATTTTATTGCTGGCACAAGTTCAAGAAGCTAGTTTTTCGTATTAAAACTTTTTATGTTGTTGAGGGCTTTAGCTGTAACAAATACAAGCAAATGACTAAGTTTTCAATTTAGTACTCTTTTTGTTCAGCTCTGATTGTGTTTGTTCTGGTTCTAGTCAACAAAATTACCCAAATGTTGCTCAGAATTCTTTTCTCCCCCAGAAGAAACAGTGTTTGCTTTGAGTCACTATTTATGACTGCTCTGGACAGCAGTGGGTAAAGCCAAATATCTAATAATGGACAGATCACCGTTATCTGATCACTACCTGCAAGATGCATTATATATTTTCCCTACTGCTGTTTCTCAAAACAAAATGGCCTCCTAAAGTAGCTTACCTTGTTGATTGATTGCTATCAGATTTCTGGAAATCATCGAATATAGTCTCCTTAAATGGGAATAAAGAAAGAATCGTTGCAAGTTAGCTACATGGAATCATAGAAGAGAGCTTACCATCTTCAAAGATGCAAAGAGTTTAAAAAGGCCATACGCATTGTGTTCTTCATTATTTCCCAACCAGACTCTCAGAAAATAATCTCATTTTACCTGTGTTCTTTTACTGAAAAGCTTGTTACTCCAAATAAATCCCCCAGGGGATCATTTGCACAGTGTACAATATGCTGCTGTTTTCCATCATATAATTGTTTAGACATAATATATTGTCCAAGATAGAATATTACCTGTAAAATAAATGAAATACACAGACGTTAAACACCCAGGTTGTTGTTTCAAGATTAAGAGAACAAGCACATTAAATACACTGAAATTTGCTCTTCAAACTCTGAATGCCTAGAACTCCCTTTGAGCTGACAGATTTTCATCTATCATTCCCCAAGAACACTGCTATTCTAATCACCAGAAATTTTTGTTCACGTTTTTGAGAAACTAGCTAAATAACTAGTTACAGCAGGAGAATAAACACAGCATCTTGTCTCAATAATTTCTAGATAAGCTATGAACTACACTGCCCCCCAGTCACCCAAACAATGTATCTGTACTCACTGTAGTCTACCTTTAGTGATTAAAAGTTCTCACCTCCTTCATAGTAAAAGTATCCTTTTCTGCACCAGCTAACTTTAACAACTCCAACAATAGTGGCTTTGGTTTAACCTGTGTGGGCAAGTAGAAAAACAGCACCAATTATCCACCAAGAAAATGTAACTTATACAGGTTACGTTCCTCCTTCTGTATTAATCTGACATGCAAACACACAACTATACGAAAACAAATTCACAATCAAATTTTTCACTTTGCAAAGTTAAAAAGCAAATAACATGAACAAAATGATAAACTTTTCATACACCTTAGCTCAAATGTACATCTTAGCTCAAACCTGTCTTTTGTTGTCTCCTAGTTTCAGCTGGGATAGTTAATTTTCCTCCTAGTAGCTGGTACAGTGCTGGTTTTGGATTTAGCAGGAGAATAATGTTGACTACACACTGATGTTTCTGTAGTTGCTAAGTAGCTACACTAAATCAGGGATTTTTCAGTGTCCCATGCTCTACTAGTGAGAAGGTGCACAAGACACTGTGGGAGCATGGCCAGGAGAGCTGACCTGAACATACCACAAAATGTCATGGGGTGAGTTGGTTGTGAGGGACTGACTGATGCTTGGGGATTGGCTGGGCATCAGTAAGCAGGTGATGAGCAACTGTATTGTGCTTCACTTGTTTTTCTCGGATTTTACTACTCTCCGTTTTCTTTATTATTAATATACTTTATTTCAATTATTAAGCTGTTCATATCTCAACCCACAGGTTTTACCTTTTCTTCTGATTCTCTCCCCCATCCCACTGCAGGGGTGTGGGGTGGGGAGCAAGCAGCTCCGTGCTACTGAGTTGCTGGCTGCGCTTAAACCTCAACACGTTGGTAAGTAGAGATTCCTTAATTTGGATTTGTTTATTAGTTCCAAGTACAGGGCTGGGTCCTGGGGAATTCAGCTTCACTTCTTTAACCATTATAATGACTCCCAAAGGGGAGGGAGGAAGGCAAAGCACCTTCATGATTGTCAGGTCCAGAGTGCAAGTCATAAAGCAAAACACTGGTCCAGCTCTTTCTTTCTCCTTCTGTGACAGTTTCTGGGGTTTTGGTTTTACATTTGCCAACTGGGCTGCTTTATCTCTGAAGACCTTTTGTAGCTGGGACAAGCACACCCTGTCCTCCCCATCATACTTGACTCATGCCTACCTCCACAATGGCCTCCCACCCATCCACTGTGCCAGCAGTTTTATCTGCAGCCAGGCTGTGACAATTTCTGAGGTAGAGGATGGAAAAGTTCAACGACAACAACAAAAAAATCACTTCCCCATACATACGCCTTTTTTTTTTTTTTCCTTCTGGCCAGAGCAGTGTCCTGATCCTGTTCACTGCACTGTTCCACACAGCTGTGCCAGCACCAGTGCAGCACATGAGAACCAGATGCAGGGGCTGCCATAACTTCAAAGTAAGTGCCTGTGGAACCACTGTGGAACCAGTGCAGTATATTGCAGGGTTGCCCCTTTAACAATGGCATAACCATTCTAGGAACAGGCTAATAGTTAGCTATCCTGATACAGTCCATAAAATAAAATATACAAAAAAAATACTGAACGTAAAAAAAAAGAAAATACAGGGAAGTGTGAACAAAATATCACAAGACAAGGAACAAATGCTTAAGGGAAGGGCGGAGGAGGGGAACTTACCTGCATTTCATTTTAAAGATCTGCTAAAACCAACGTTAAGTGTTAGTGCATTAACAAGAGATTAGTTGCAAGAACTACACATAATAAAAACAATAATCAAGCTTATGGACAACATTAGATGTCTATTCACCCCTTCCTAAGGGCGGAATTATTTAGAACATGCTGAACACATTACAGTTTCATAAAGGAAGCAAACAGAAACTTATTAAAGCACTACTGACAGCTAAGCATAGGAAGACAGTTTCAGATCTCTGAATCCACAACTAAGCCCATTTCTACTCCCCAGCCTTCTCTTCCTGACTCCTCCAAGTATGAATTCTTTGGCCTCCCAGATATGACAGCGGACAGTAGCATCACAATATGATGACTTAACAAAAAAAAGGAAGAAACGAACAAACAAAAAAAACACAATGGTTTTTGCTGTTCTGCTGTTTTGCTTTTTTGAAATTCTACTGTAAGTCTACCCTTTTAAGTTTTACCCTTCTACACAGGGCAGCCCCATCCAAACATCATTGCACATGTGCTGTTTTTAACTCGTCTTTCAGGTATAACAGCCTTCCATTCTCAGGAAAACTTATGCACAAAATCAGGGCAGCAGAACTGCCACTGTATCATGGAAACTCTGGATATGTAAAGCCATAAAAACAAATGAAGACTCTTCTTACAACTTGCTTATGAATTCCAATAGAGGAGAAAACCTTCAGATTATTTCACAAATAGTACAGTTCGCACAACGGAGATCTTCCACAACTCTTCAGTTATGATCTGTTAACGACTCCCACCATGAAATACTTACCGCGATCAAATCTGATGATAAGATCCTTTTTATTAAAAGAAAGCAAAACCCATCGTAGATCTCCAGGAAACAGAGTCTAGACCTAAGCCATCACCCTCAACTCTCAACCATGAATAACATTTGCTTCACAATTACAGGATCAGAGACACCACCTTCACCGGATTTCCTGGTTTTTCTACAACCGGCGCTCGCTGCAAAAAGTGGTCCTTCTAAATTAGCTGCTAAAACTCTATAAAAAGCATGAAAAAACTCGCGCATCCAAAAGAGCTACTGACCAGCGCCTCTTGCTCCGAACCGGTGACAGCGGAGGCATCTGTAAGGGCGGACATCTTGGTATTGCACATTTGCCTGCAACTGAGGGGAGAACCAGCTCAGAACGTGGCACACAGCGACACAAGCCGGGCTGGCGGCAGCCGCCAAGCCGGCGGAGCCCACTCACCTCGGTATCCCGTACAGCCCGCGCTGGGCTCCAGCGGCGGTGTCTGGGTCGAGTCGGGCTAGGCGGGACCTTATATAGCGCTGCCAGCAGGAGGCAAGTCAGGGCTTAGCTCCGCGCCGGCCCGGCCCGGCCCGACATGCCTGAGCATGACCCGGAGCGCCGTCGCCGAGTCACCGCGGGGGGCGAACGGGCGGGACGGGCCCGGCGCTGACTCACCGCGGCCGCCGAACGCGGGGAGGCCCGGCAGGGCACAGGGACAGCGGCGCGGGGAAACAGCGCCGGCCCCGCGCCCCTCGCCCGCCCCACCCGGCGCCCCCCGCCGCAGCCCCTCCCCCAGCGCCGAGGCCGCACGAGCGACGAGCGAGAGCCCCCGGCCCCCCCCGGCCCCCCCGGCCCCCGAGCGAGCCGCAATCGATCCCCACGCACCGCCAGCCGCGCCCGCCCCCCCGGCCCCCGAGCGAGCCGCAATCGATCCCCACGCACCGCCAGCCGCGCCCGCTCCGCAGCCTGGCCTGCGACGGGTGGAGCGCCAGGACCCCGCGGGATCCTGCCCGCAGCCTCTACCGCGGCCCCGCCGCGCCGTGCGCGCCCCAGGCCGCCATGTTGGCCTCGCGGCCCGCGGGTGTCCCAGCGCCCCCTGACGGGCGGCGCCCGCGCGGAGGGACAGCCGCGCTCGGGCCTGGGAGCGACTGCGCTCGGCCCCCTTTGTTCCCAGGGCAGGAAAGACAAAGGCTCCTGCATTCACTCAGGGAGACAGTAGTACAAGTGTTGGTTGCCTGGCCAGTAGGTAACCACGCCTTTGGATACCGTTTTGATTTGCAGTGGTCGTTTGTGTCTTCTAAGTTGTTTTGTCACTGATATTTAAGAGATGAAATGAGGAGAAAACTTTACATACAAAGAGAATTGGATGCTGTTGTCCTATATTCTTGTCATCTCTCATTCTATAATTTTGTGTATCTTTTAAATGTAGGGTATTTGGAAGTATGTTACTTTCATAGGGACTTAGTAGTTGCTACACTTCAGGCAGAACTGGTTAGTTTTTAATCTGACTGCCTTTTCTAATTCTCAGGTTTTTTCTTTGTCCAGAGTGAAATTTTAAAATTATTTTTGAAGAGTGAAAAGATTTGTTAGAGAACATAAGAGCTGTAGACAGTGTTTAAAGATACGCTAGAGCAGAGGGAGCGTAATGCTAGTTTTCCATGACAACTAACTTGTCCAAACAAGTAGTGGATAACTGCCTGGACTTGTCTGCTGGCCAAATACAGATTCTCAGCAACCATAGCACCTTGTAAAAATTCCAGCAAGGGTTTAAATCTAGATATTTGTGTGATGATGGATTTTCAAGATGACTTTGTTATTGTTCTAGAGCATAAAGCTCAAGGTCTAGTGAGGGACAGCTGAGAAGCTGCCAGAATTTTGCAAAGCATGCTCACCTCCTGTTAGTACCGGGATTTCAAGGCAAACAGAAATCTGTTTGAAGTGGAATGTCCTTCATCAGGCAAAGTCAGATATCTTCTCCTTTCCACCCAGCATCCCAATTCCTGAGATCCTTACCTAGCTAACTTCATCGGTAGGAGAAAATTCTGTCTACACAAAAATACAAGAGGATGGAACCAAATGGCTACATTCAATTGATATAATACTGAACAGCTGTATTACCAATGCTCAATCTTGTTCTCATGTGGCAGGAGAACTATCTAATTCTTATGCAAAATGCATTTTACTGAACGGAAGCAAAACAAATCCAGAGTTTTTACATAGCTATCACATTATTGTTCCTTGTCTTCAGCACATTGCAATTTTGCTAAGGCTGTGTGGAAAATTAAGGAGCTTTTTAAAATTAGGAATAAATTTTCTACAGTCCAAGACTTATCAAACTGGTATCTATGACTTTCTTTTTCCACTTCTCTACCAGTGGGCATCTTGTGACCAATGACTTTCAGATTAAATTGGAATTATTTAAATAATAACTTCCCTTACTGATTCATTAACTGCTAACTATAAGAAAATCCAACAATTTCTGCCTAGAATTTTTATCAGTCTTCAAGGACAATATTCTCTCTTTTCTCCAACAGACTAATCTCAAGTAAAGGGAGGCTGCAGGTAGGTAAAATATGCTGTCTGTGCTTGCTTGGGAAGAGAGGGGGATATTTTCTGACATGCAGTGCTGCAACACTTCTGTTTGCTACTCGTACAGCACATGCTGTGTCATCGACATGCATAATTATTTTCTTGTGCTTGATAATTCAGGACAAGTACTTGAAGGGCGAGTAATAAGCTTGTATAGTTATGAGAGCTGACTTCCTCAATATTTGAAGTTGTAAAAAGAAAAGGAGAAATCACTACAGCAAGGCCCACCTGTGTATTTTACTTACAATGCCACAGAAAATATCTGAAGCAGAGGCAGCCCAGCTGCCTTAACCAGAGATAATCACTTTACATTGTGGTTAACTAACGTGACACCCTTTTTAGTATAAATTCAGATTCTAACTGTAAACATTTCACTGTTAAATGCTTGCAAGCTAAATTACTTTCTGAGATGGACCTGGTCTACCTATAGGGTCATATGCCAGAGGAAAGACCCACCCAAGAAGGGTCTCTGTGCTGCAGGGGTGCCCAACTCAAGTGAGCGGATGGACTGTTAAATATTCGATTTCAGATTCTTGTTCCTCACTGTAATTCTTTTTTTTCCCCCAACATGTCCTACTTACCCTTTACTGGCAGCTGTCTCTTAAGCATCCAGCACATACACGAAATGGTCCTTGCCAGATGCTGATCAAAGGCATACGTGGCCAGGGTTTGTCAGGTCTCGTCTCCAAGCAGTTTGCTGCTCCTTGGTTATCAGATAGGTTAATCTCATGTGTTGTCTATGAACAGCTCCCAGACACATACACACAAAAAAATTAAAAAAAAAAATTCAAAGCAAGCCTCTGGGGCCTTACACTGTGTTGATGTATCCTTTCTGAAGCCTTAGACACAATCTCTGTTAGTATGACATAAAGCTGTGATCAGTTATGTGCCACAGATTGTCAGGCACCTCAACATGAAAGGACATAGGAACGAGGACGCTGAAACACAGCTGGGGCACGTCTGGCTTAATGGGACTTTCTGCCAGGCCTGCCTGCTGCAGCTGTGACCCCATGTGCCAGACAGTGGGCCAATACAATTCTGTACAAATACAGGAGAGAGAATTTTGTTGTTTGCTTTCTGCTTTGTTGTGTAAGAAAAAGCACATTGATAAGAAATCCTCAGGACAGTAATCACAAATTCAATGCAGGGAAATTATAAGCTAATACCTATCCCAGTGGAGAGGTCTGTCAGTACCAGAAACTTCTTACTATAAATGCTACCCAAAATCTACTAAATGAAAAGGGAATGCAGCCTTCCTGGGGGCAAATCTGAAGAGAGAGTAATGACAGGAATCAAGAGCAAAGCTCACAGCAGCAGTGGGAACCCAAAGATCACGTGCAATGCTATTGCAGCTGTTTAACAGGGAACACCAAGCTCTACTTTGCTGTTCAACTTGTGTTTTTCTGGTGTGCAGGAGCCGTGTATTTGAGCTGCCCATGGCTGCACTGCCCTTCCCAACAACCCCAGTGACTCTTCAGACTGGGTGGCACAGCAGGTGTTCTGCAGCTTCACCTGTGTGCACACCCTGGGCTCAACTACCTGCAGTGTTTCATCAAAGAATCACAGAATATTCTGAGTTGGGACCCAAAAGGATCATCAATGTCCAACTCCTGTCCCTGCACAGAACAGCTCCATGTACCATGTGGGAGCTTTGCATATGAGATCGGCAGTTTCCTACATCTCCATAACTTCAGAGCAACTTTTTATTTTGAAAAATGTAAAATTACTTCAGGTGGACTGGAAAAGATGGTGTGAAACAAAATCTTTTTCTAGCAGCTGCTCGTGAGCTCTTTCTTACCCCCCTCCCACAGGCACTCAGTTCAGGTGTGTCTACTCTTGAGCATGTTAACTACAGCTGCTTCAAAACCATCTGGAGCTAGAACAATCCCACATCAGAAGACAGCAGCTCTTCTGCCTTTGTTTAGTTGCCGTACTTATTCCTTCATCCACCTGGGAGACACTGGTAGTCTGCCCAAATCTGATTCCTATTTAGTAGCAGCTCAGTCAGCCACAAGCAGAATTAAACAAAACAATAGCCTTCTGAAGGGAGGCCAACTAGCAAGAACATAAACCAATTATTTTGAATTTCTGCTCATTATCTAAAACAGAATGAAAAGTTTAGGTGTTTTTCCCCTCCTCTAGTTTTCTGTTTAGTCCTCACTTTTAAAGAAGCTTATGGAATGATTCTGAAGAACTGAAAGGGAAAAATTTCAGGAAAAGACTTCTGACTCTCAAACAGGTTTTGTTAGGCATATCACTGAATGAAAAAGCATGCTTTTCTTGTTAGGCAGGGGTGAAATATGTCATTAGATTGTGACCATCTCCTGCTTTACTAAACTGTAGCTGTGAAAGTTAAATAATCTAGTGATATCTCCTTCCCTAGTACTTGATTGCATGTAACTAGATCAGAAAAAGACTCAGGATAACCATGCTCATCTGCCTTATTTAGCCAGACTACGATGATGCCAGTTCAGTTTAGAATTGTTCTTTTAATCCAGTGCTCATTTGTCACACAAATGTGCCGTTCAGTCCAGCACAAAACACATTTCTGTTTAAGGGAGCGGCCCAGAAGGGTGTGTGGGGTGTGCACAGGCTAACAGGACTCATGTGAAAGACTGAGGTATCTTTCAGTCTAAAACTGAAATGTATTCAGGGACAACCTAAATCTAGGAGAAGCTGAGAGCAAACATAGCATGCAGTTCAAATCCAGTCTGTTTGGGGTGCCATGTATGGACAGAACTGCAGCTGATGATGAGGTCAGGCCTGAGGAACTATTCAAGTCAGGCTGCAGTCTGGGTTAAAGCAAGGGAAGACAAAAAATTATTTTAACTGTCTGGCTGTTACTTGAACTGTTTGTTTCTAACAACAAAACCCAGAAGGGCATTTTATTGCACAAACAGCTTCTTAATTCAGTCCCATTCTGTGTACCTGATCATGTATCTCCCAGAATTGTCCCACCCTTGCTAGTCCATTTGCCCACATCTCCCCCACATTTCCATAGTTGCTTTCTAGCTGCCTGTTATCCAAGGAATATATGCTTTAGTTTGGATCGCGAAGTCTCTACAACATCCTCCTTTGCACACCTTCTTGTTGCCTGCTCCACAATGTAAAGTTTGGTTGATGCAGCCTTAGTGACTGGTGTATGATTTTACTTGACACAGAAAAGCCTCAGCACTCTCCTTTTGCTAATACAATTGATTTTACTGACAAATTATAAGTCACCTTTCTGCTGGCTCTTTTCTGTTTGAGAGCATAGCTTTGTCAATAAAACTTTTAGCATACGACTTTAGCAGAACAGTTAGACAATGCTAGTAGCTAGACAAATAGTTTGGAACATTTATTAGAGGCATTACTAGTGGCTGGGGTAGCCTGGACTTGAAACCATCAAGGTTGATTTGAGTAGTTTCCCTCCAAGAGTTTATTGCCATCACAAACAGGGCTAAGTTATCAAACTTGGGTGTATATTCTGAAGCCCACTTGGGAAGTGGGCTTGCTGAGAAGGGTCTCCTTGAGATTAAATCTCTCCCTAAAATCAGGCATGGATCCATATACTTCCTGAAATAAACTGATATACCTTGCTAAGTCATCCTGCTGAAGACCCTCACTGTCTTTTTTCTTTTATCCATATACCCTCCCTTGCTTCAGGTGGATCTTGATCATATGTCACCTCAGCACCCAACGGTTGACATGCAACTACTTGTTACCAAGCAAGAGAAGTTTCTTACAGTGCCCAGTTGCCTGCCTGTAAATTAGTGCTTGTTTAAACACAAACATGGAACGTCACGTAAGTAAGGAACACATTAGAGACACTAAAACAGAAACAGTTCTCTCTGTGGAGTGAGCAAATATTAACATCAGCATAATGTACAAGAGGGATGTTGGCGTAGAACTGGGTATTCTTGGGAGGAGTTTTGTGACCCACAGAGATACAGCATGCAGTTCTGCTGCAACAGAAGTGATGGTTAGTCTACTTGTGCCAAGCTGGGTGCTAAAACCCTGGAACATGACAGGCACAGAAACCAAAGGAAAACGTCATGTTTTCCCCCGAGTCAAGGAAAAAGCTCTCACAAGTTTTCCGTTCTCACATCTGCAATAAGAAACACTAAGAAAATGGAATTTTAGCATCCTGCAGTTCAGGTGCCAGACACTGGTTGGGATGACCAGCATTGTCTTGAGCTTATTTTATATTCACCTCTGAATTTCTCCCCTTTGCCCCCTACAATGTTTTTTTTGCACTACTTGCATATTCCTTGTTTTCTTCTCTCTTCCATGTCATTTCTGCTTTTCAGATGTTGTTAATATTTCCACAGTATATTTTAATATATATGTATATATATATACACACTCTCTAGACATATGAAAAGTAGTTTTATACAAAGAGCCTGCAAACTATTCTGAAAATACTCTTCTGTGTCCTGATTTTTGGTAATTACATGTGAAAATGTTTATAGAATTAGATCAATAAAAAAGTATATATCACTTTTTTAAAGTGTTCTAATATTCATAAATTTCCCACTCTGCTTTTCTTTTTTAATTGTAGAGTTTTAGTTCTTCATAGTTTTCACCTGAAAGCGAGCTGTTAGTGGTTCTCCAGTATGTGGCATGTTTTAGCCTGAGGACTCTGATGGAGCCAGCTGAATTGGAGAGACTTGAACAAGTAACAGGTAGTTGTTGTCCAAGTCCATGGCTTGGTTTTGTTACCAGAATAACTTTTTTTTTTTTTTTTTACTAAATATGAAATGGGAACATTAAGGGAAATCCCCCACCCCAGCTGCTCTACAAATTGAAACCTCTTTCTAAGTACTGGCGGGCAATACAGATCAGGATAACATTCACAGTCTTTATCAGGAAGGCAATATTTGAAAAGAGGGAGAGGAAGTATTAAGCCAAATGCTCTTGGAATTTTTGAAGGCTGTGTGTGCCACTAAGCTTGTTTTTCTGCCACCTGCCCTGATTCCATTAGCTGATCTGACAGACATCACTGCAGTTTCCCAGCCTTGGGACTCAGACCCTGCTGGCCTCGGCAGGAGGTTTGTCAGGGGAGGTTCGCTGGTGGTTGCGCCATCTGGTGCAGAAAAGGGGGGTTTCCATCTACAGCACACAAAGAAAGGCGTTTGGAATTAATGCATAAAACTTGCACAAACCCATCGATGACACTGGAAAAGCAAGACACAAACTAAGCTCTGACTGCAGATGACAAACCCATGCAAAATACTGTTCGGTGCTTTGTTTGGTTCCATTGTGGTATTAATAGCTCAATCATCTCTTGCCTCCAGAAAAAGCATGTACTTGGACTTTTTGGTATTCCTTGATTCAGCTGGTTTTGCAGGATCCATCTTAGCATCTTAGCTTAGCTCACCCCGGTTGTTTCAAAAGAATTTTTTAGCTGTGGTAGCTTTGAGTCTGTGTACCTCTCTTGGAAATTTCTTATGCATTTGTTTGTGTACCTGGAGAGATATGCAGGCACTGGGCTTTGACTTCTGACCCACCTTATTTATCTTAACAACGTGTTGTTCAGGTATGAGTCAAGGCCAGAGGGAACACAGCATGGTAGAACACCTTGAGAGAAACACACCATGCAGTGCTACTCACAAAGGAAAAATCCCAAATCCACTGCTGTGGGACTGTAAGATATTGCTGCATTATGACTTGGCTGTCAGGAGACAGGCTGCAGTTTCCTCACATAAGCAAAATAAGCCTCACACAAACACACCCAGATATGCACTGTGGTGAGGCATTTGAGAGTACAGATCTTCTGTCTTTACATGCCAAAATACTGTTTCAAAAAGATTCTCAAAACCACTTGTTTTCCCCCATATTTACTGAAGAGGGTCTGGTAGAATACAGACCATCGTTCCCTGAGGTAGTCTTGAGTAGCTACATAGCAGCTGGCCCAGGACATCACCGGAATGGCAGCAGACAGGTAGGCAGGGAAAATGTGTGGGATCTGCTTCAGCATTACTGAAGGTGAAGCTTGTATTTGGTTGATTTCAGAGCACATCACTGCAAGAGAGGTATTCAATTCTCCTCCTTGTCTCCTCACTGATGGCTGCAAGCTGATGGTGAGACAGACGTTTTTTGGAAGAACTGTGGTGCTGGATTGCCTCAGCCACCTTGCATGGTTTGGTGATGCAGCTGAGCTCATCAAATATCTCAGGTAAAGAATGTACTGAGCCCATCTAATGCCCTATTGAAACAATGGCCTTGACAGGAGCTGTGCATTCCCAACCAAGTATTTCTTTGAACTGGCTTTGGCTCCTTTGACCACAGATTTAGCTGATTCAACAGCAGGATATTTACTTGTATTAGCTGCTAGTATGTCACCTTGCTTTATCATGAACACATGAGATGTAACAAAAAAGCAGCAGGAACACACAGCTGGAAGCAGGGAACTGGAGATGACAATGGGGAAATAACTCCTGAAGGCAGAGAGCCATTCAGAGGTCTTTTCCTTATCATCTAACCCCACCTTGAATGTTACCTCTGGTATCAGTCACCTGGGTTGATAAGCCCCTGCAGTATCTCCTGCGATAGAACTGGGTCCAAATTCCCAGAAGTATCCCTCAGGTGTTACTTAGGGAGAAGTAAAGAGTGCATGTTAGCACTGATAATTAGTTTAGCTGGCCCAACCCAGCTTTTCCTGTGTTGCAAAGGAGCTGAAAGGTTTGCAAGAGGAGTTGTGTTGATTGTACCGATGAAGACACTTCTGATGGTAATTTGCAGGCCGTTGTGTTTTTATTGTGTGAAAGCTGATTTGGAAATGTACGTCTTGAAATCTGTAGAAAGCATGTGTCATCTGTGTATTTTGCATTCCACTTGTGCAGATATCAAGCACCTCTAGCAAGTTGCTCCAGCTCAAAACATCACTCCCTTCTGCTGTTGACAGAACTTTCTTAGCAAAAGTTACTGCCTTTGCAACACAAGTTGGAGGGATCACAAAAAAAAAATCAACCCACATCTCAGTTCTCAGTCTGGCATGTTAAACTGTTACTCCAAGGATTGTATCCAAGGGACAACACAGCATGGGCGTGCATTCCTCTTTGGTGACACAGACAGGAAAGGACAACTGTCTCTGGAAAAGCAGAAGCCTCAAATAGCTGGGGAGCAGTATTGTCATACATACTGGAAACGTGCACACAGACCAAGAGTCTTTCAGGTCCATGCAGCCATACAATTATTTTATGCAAGACCAAAATGATGACTGCAGTGAACTAAGGAAACTTTATAGTTTTATCTGTGTTTTATGTATGCATATCAACTTTCCATTTTTACTAGGTTTTAGTTCCAGTTTTCAATGCTAGCAATGCATCTCTAGAGCTCCGTGTCTCTGGCTTCTACTAAAATCCCATCCTGCCAAGCCATTTTTGCCGCAAAGCCTTTGCAGAGGTTTGATTCATTTTATCATTCCTAGCCTGCAAATGTGAAGTCCTGTTAGACAATAAGGACATCACATCACAAAATAATTTCCTTAGACATCTTTGCATGCACTGATTTACATCCATTTTTAAAAGGAAACTCCAAACACGGGGGACTTGCATATCTTACTTTTACACTCAATAAAAACACTGAGAATACTCAACTACAAGATATTTAAATCCTGGCTTGCTTAGGAACAACTAACTGATTAGAAAATTAACCAGCCTTTAAAAATAATATCCCAATGATATGACGCCCAGTGAATTACTATAGGCTATCAAACGAGTAAAGCTTCTTCATAGAAGCAAAACCACCTGATGTAGCACAGACTGGTTCAGCTAAATACAGCACACTGAAAAATAGGACAAACACACAATATACTTTCCAAAGATCTTCCCTTAATACAGGGGACAAGGGAAATAGAGTTGCTAGTCCACAGGAGGCTGCAGAGGCAGGAAACAAGCTGCTGCAGCTCAGAGCAAGCCAGCCTCCCAGAGAATTCAAGACCACTTATAGGCACATAAATATGTTGTGGAGTGCTTGAGAAACTCCTTGAAAGCTTATGTCTGAGATGCTTTCTCATCATTTCGTTTGTGTGAAACCTTCTTCAAAACCTGCCTTCCGACGCTGCGTGTGTGGACGTCACATGGGGACTATTCAAAGAGGCGCCTCCCGCCCCGCTCTGCTTCCCTCAGTCCTGCTCCTAGCCGTGCGGTGTCACTATTCTCCGTTGTCCCAGCACGAAAACTTGACTGTTTTCGTCAACAGGAAGGCATCGACTTGCTCTATAGCCAGCTGTGGCTATTCTATCCAGCAGAGGGTCATATGACTCTCTCAGTTCAGACAGATCAGGGGCAAGAACGTGACATTCCACTGACACTGTCATCTCATATAATATGTGCTAAGAGCATGTCTTTCACTAAATCTGCTGAATTTTAATTTCTGTCTTTGGCATCCAAGATGAGGTTTGAATGACACCCAAGTACAGCTGGTTCTGTAACATTGCATGTAGTTCTAGAAAACCAGCTTGGTGGGGGTGCTCAGTAATCCCAGCTCAGTGCCAGCCTCCCATGTGTCCATTTACACTGCTGTCAGCTGGACCTCATGAGATTGTAGGTTTAGGGGTACAGAATAAATGTTTACATGTGTCCCACCCCCCCGATAGAGACACAGGTATTCAGGAATTCAAACAGCCTTTTTGGGAAACCTTTGCTTGGGCTTTGTTTGGGAAACAAACCTACTATATCTCTATCCCTCTCTTTTTTTATACCTATACAACAAACTCTGATGCAAACTGCACTGGTTATTGTCAGTCCTGATCAGAAGAACCACTTTACCACTCAGAAAAGTGAGATCATGTGTGTCCAGAAATGTATCATAATTGCCTGAAGGGTGTATGACCACTACTATCAGTTTCTTCTCTCAACTGGATTAACAAGTAGGAATACAGTTTTTGACTAACCAGCACAAGAAATGCATTTAATAAGTAAACCATTCTGGATCCCAGAAGACCCTAACATTGCTTTCAACTCCTTGGAGAAAAGCACTCAATTTCACAACAGTTAATATAATAGGAGCTGGAGAGGCTTTTTCCACTCAGCTGGAAGACAGAAACCTGAATGGAATCAACATGCACACATGTAGATAAATTACATGATCTTAATCAACGTATTTAATATGCAACTTTGGTGTATTGTAAAACAAAACCTCTTCAGTCACTCATTAGTTCTGTAACAGAAAATAAAAGTGTGCAAATGTTTTCTTTTTTCCCCAGAAAGTAAGGAGAATCAAAAACATTCTGGGCAGAGTAAGGAAGCAGAACAAGAACTGTTTCTTTGTTGAATAGCATACCAAATTTAGTTGAAGAAAAAAAAAGTCAAACTTGTCAACTATGCAGCTTCATTTCTAGAAATGCTGAGCCAGTGCCATTCTCTATTAAGTAGTATTGGAAGGGAAGAAGTTCACACTGACAAATCTGGCCCTGCTATATTCAGCTGCCTTATCGTGCAGTTAAGCATCTAAACTTACACATCTAGGGAAGTTTTAAAATATAAGGTCTGTGTGCTGTATACTCTTCTCAGTTGTTTCTTAACTCATTGTCTCACTTTTTTCTTTAATCACAACCACCTCTGTTCTATGGTCCCAATATCCATGATTACTCCATGTGCTTCACCCAATCACAACACATCTCCTTTAAACAAGTTTGCTTTTCAGCCTCTGCTTTGTAAGAAAGTAAAAAAGTGCAACAGTTTGCTGTGCCAAGGTCATTAAAAATTACATTCTTATGCTGTAGAAGATCTCCTCCCTGCACTTCCTGGATGAGACACAGCCGCCTGTGGTTCTAAAAATAATCCTGCTCTTTTCTGACACACTACTAGCCTGCATATGCATCCTGTATGTGCTAGTTATCCACACAGCCGTGCTAGACTTCTTGGAGCTCCTTAAATATAATCATGTGTCTTCAAATGTATGGCTTGTATTAATGTTCCAGTGAAGCCACAAACAGATTAGAAAATTATCTTTGCAATGTCAATCTTTAAGCAACCTTTGGATCGTTCCCAGTACTTGCTTCTAAATACATAGTTTACTTCCATTATATTACGTTTAATCTGCCCATGTCTGTTCCTGCCTTTCCATTATAAAGGCAGCATATTGTGCCTGCTAGGTACTGAGCTAGTGCAGCTGCGAAGGCAAATGCAACTCCTGAGCTGGCAAATTACCTCTTAATCCACGTTAACCTGATTCCTGTATTTTAAGCAATTAATTTTTTTCTGGAGAGAAGGCAGGCAAGGCTCCCTAGGTAAAAACCAGCAACACTGGGTTAGGTCAATATATTTATATAAGCACTAATACAATTTCTGTCTCAATTCTAGAATTCCCTAATTATAAAGGGCAGACTGAAACAGGAAAGGGAGATTTCTTATGCACTAACTAAAGGAAATGACAAAAACTAAAATGGGAAAGTATTAGAAACTGCCTTGCAACTAAAACAACAAAAAGGGATCACATTTCCCCTTTCTTTAGTCCTTGTTGTGCTACAGGTTGTAACTATGCCCCTTTGGGCTGGACTGGATCCCTCACACACCAGGGCTGACTGTTACATGAGGCGATGGAGTACATTGTACTCCCCAGGGTCATAGAATAGACTCATTAGGTCCATTAGAACTCTCAGGTCTTCTTACTCAAGGAAGACAGGAGAACGATCTAAGTCAGTCAGATGAAAGCAGGAACAGTAACTCTAGCCAGACAAGCTCCATAGGGAGAGATATGTTTTCATTGGACCAACTGATACAGCTGAAGAAAAGCAAACCAGCTTTCAGGAACACAAGCCCTCCTTTACTAAGCCCAGCATCACTGGGCCAGGGGAGGTGGAACAATAGCTCCCTTCTCTCAGGAAGGTTAACCATAGCTGTGGGACAAGCCTGGCAAAGACTGTCTGAATCCAGCTATTTTTTTTTTGCATGGCATTTATATTATTCAAACGACTCAGCTTTGCATTCTTTTGCAATACCTGCCTGGACACAAACACACACCTGTCCCCAGTGCTTAACACAGATTTATTTGGTAAGATGTCTCTGTGTCTTAGAACAGGATTTCTCTTTATCCAAGATTATATCAGCTCCTGCTGATAGATTTTTTTCCTTCATGTTCTTAACCCTATGCAGCTGACATCCCAATCACCTCTGCAGCAACTGTGCTGTCAAATGGAAATCTGAGACTGCGATCAGAGAGAGAGCACACACAGAAATAGAGGGAATTTGTACGGAGCAGAAAGATGGTGCTTCTTTGCATCTACCTGATTGTAATAGTAGAAAAACAAAGAGCTGCATCTTTAAAGTTAGAAGAGTGAAATTCTTTTGCAAAACAAAACATATCTTCACTCTATATAGTTGCCTTTAATTTATTAAAAATTATTTTCTTTTTTTTCTTATTAAATGGGGAAGTTGGGTTTTGAAGGCTAAAATAAAATTTTAAGAGGAAAAAACTGCAATAACACAAGCAAACACCTACAAGTCTTTAATCCAAACTCTTCCTCTTTTAAAAACTAGTTAAGACATAACTGGGAGCAAAATAGACATCTTGGGAGAAAAATCTTATGAAAGGTGAATTGAGGGACACTAAGATCTGCTCTCCAAATTCCCTTAACCTGCAGTCTGTTATTAAAAGCAGGAACATAAAATCCAGGAAGATAGAAAGCTCTCTCACCTAGCAGAGTGAGCCTTCCTGTTACTTTCCGAAGTAGGTTGGTGAATTTCAGGCCAGCTTTTAAGTCACTGCTAAATACCTTAGCAGTGTGCCAGTGTTCAGTAGCACAATATTGCTCAAGAGCAGGCCCTCCTAAGCAGCCCAACTGTATAAATATATACAGCCAATTACAAAAGCCATCATGATCTTTTGACAGATTTTGCAGAAGATGTGACAAACTAGACATGGGTTAGCTGTACTCCAAAATGTTACAGAACACTCTTCGGAAACTCTTATATAATAAAACATTATAAAAATGAGACTTTTACCTTACTATTTGACCAGCATTCACTACGACTAATATTTTAAAAAGAGTTTAATAAAAAACTCTGCATAGTCCAAACAAGGCTTTAATGTTGCTTTAGCCCTAGGCCATCGCTGGGCATTCATTTCATGAAATGAGACAGAGAGAGGATACAGTCCTGCTGAATTGCAGTTCTGTCTCGAAGGTAGACTCCCTGCAAGACAAACCTCCTTTTCATACGTGTAACAGCAGCAAACCACTTCAGACTCAAGCCTGAGAGAGTGACTGTTCACGCATCAACAGGAAAACTCCCCTGGCACAGTGCCCTGCACGGACACAGAACCTGCAAGAACTTAGCAAGTCATACAAAAACAGATGAAAAATCTGTCAAACACGTGCTGAGTTACCAAAGTTAAAGGTAACACAAAGCTTTGAACTGAGTATCTTTTAAGTGAAGGCATACTTCCTATTCCTTTAGGAAAAATGGGAAAACCTTGTGTATGTTGTTTTAAAGAGTTTTTGGGGACAAGGCTAGCAAAGATAATTTACCACCAGTTGCTCAGATTTTAAACAGAATCATCTACATACGCTCTCAGTTTTAAATGCCACCTTGGTATCTACACCAGCATTTCCACTGGAACATCATCAGTGGTAGCTTTTTAAAATAAAGAATGATAATATAAGCAGTAAAGCACTGGATGGCAAAGGAGCAAGGCCCATCCTGCTACCACAGTTTAGTGACATGTAGAATATGAAAAATGAAAATCAGAAAGCAAACAAGAGGGTTTGTATGGTATGGCTCCAATTATAACAGCATACACAGGGTGATGACTACATATTGCTAAAGATTACAAGCCTCTGATTTCTCTTTCAGGAAAGTCAAAACTGATTGAAATACATATAATTAACAGGAAAACACATTCAACTGATGTAGTAAAAACTAGAATAAGCAAGTTTCCCACCGTGTAAGTATCAGTGACTTTTATAAGATTCCAGTTTTTACCTCAGGATTTAAAATTTCCCTCATTTGTGCCACGAGTGCAAAACATTCAAACTTCATGAAATATTCATACAGACAGAAATCCATGTGGCACCATTTTGTCTTAGACACCTAGACCTCCAAAGTGTATGCAATTTGAAGATGAAAAAAGACGAGAACAACTTCTTTCTCCTGCAATAAGCAGGTATCAGTAAACTGATTAAAATTTATTCCCACCCCACATATATCCAAAGAAACAATACATACAAAAATCCATTTATCTC